TGTAGCAGGTATCGCACCTGCTGGTGGGTGCAGCTCCCGCATGTTCCCTCGTTGGAGGCTTGAGCACGGATGTGGCTGCTACGGGGTTCCCCGTAATACTATAATGACAATAAAAAAAGGCCTGAAAGGCCGTCCTGTCCAGATTTGACAGGTAATTGAATTGGTTGGGCTTAAGGAATTAGCCTTTGGAAAAAAAAAAAAACCGGAAAACGGCTTCAGCGTCCCCATACATACAAGCCATGGCCATGCAGCGAGGAGCAGGGCAGGGCACTTTCCCCAACTGCAGCCTATAAAACAGCAGAGAGGGAAAACATTCCCGACGGAAGATTTGGATGTGGTTGGGAAAATATCCCCGACCGAAGTTTTTTTTTTTTTAACAAAACAACCCAATCGGCTGCTAAGATTTTTTTTTTTTAAGACCCAATCGGCTGCTAAGATTTGGATGTTTTCTAACAGCGTTTCATTTATTAAAAAAAAAAAAAAAAAAAAAAAAAAAAAAAAAAAAAAAAAAAAAAAAAAAAAAAAAAAAAAAAACAGCGTTTCATGATATTTCACTTGTCGTTTTTTTTTTATGTTGTGAACTTGTGATCCTCTTCCTTTTGCAGTTTTCAGAAGTTTGTCATAAGTTCTCTTCTTGTTTTTCGGTTTTCATAAGATAATATTTACAACAGGTCTCGGCTCCTTTTTCTTTTTTTCTTTTTTTTTTTTTTGGGGGGGGGGGGCGCTCCTTCTTCCTCGGTGTGCTGTCCGTAAACTCTGTTGAACATTGCAGTGGGGAGGAGCAGTGGCTGGTGTGGGGCAAGCCAGTGGACCAGGTACAAAAACAGGACCTATCGACATGACCATGAGCGGACCAGGCGGACGCCATGCAGTCCGAGCACTGCCCCTGGATGGAGAGTTAGCATCTGAACTTGGGAGGCTTTCCGAGTTTCCGGCACCATTTGGGCCAGATCTTCAAGTTGACATAGACTCGCCGTCAAGAGATCTTCCAGTTCGGCCAGCTGGAAGACCAGTGAAGATGGGAAAAAAGGACAGGCATGATGAAGAGGAATGGGGGAACGAGGTGAACTTTTCCAACCTCTCTCTCTCTCTCTCTCTCTCTCTCTCTCTCACACACACACACACACACACACACACACCCTTGCTCCCCCCCT